ACACACACACACACACGTATATAGATGTATATATACACACATATCTGAACCTAATTACTGTATATGTAGAGAGATACATATAGACTCATATATATGTGTACATATCTATTCATACACACATACATATGTGAATATATGTGTATATGTATACACACATACATATATACACACATACATAGAAATGAGATTTTTTCTGAACGATTTGAGAGTAAGCCAGAGACGTCATATCACATACACCACCTTTACCCCTAAATATTTCTATCTTCTACCCCTAAATATGTCCACTTCCTAAAAATAGGGATATTCTCTTAACAACTGCAGAGTGTTATCAACTTCTTAAATGCACTCTGAAATAATACTTTTATCTAATCCACCTTCCATACTCTAACTTGGTCAGTTGATCTAACAAGATCCTTTATAACATACTCCCCCCACTTTATAACATACCCCCCCCTTCCAGTACAGTGGAAGGTATTGCATTTAGTTGCATGTCGTTTATCCTCTTTTTATATGGAAGATTTTCACAGCCTTTCTTTGTCTTTCATGACATTCACATTTTTAATAAACAGTCCAGCTTTTTAAAAAATGGAATGTTTACATCTCGTGTGTGTGTGACTGATGTTTCCTTGTGATTGGATTGAATTAGACTGAGTTTGGCATACTGCACAGGCTGTGTTCTTCTCAGGCTGTTAAATTTTTCATTTTATTTTATTTTTTTAGCTGCGTTGGGTCTTCGTTGCTGTGCGCAGGCTTTCTCTAGTTGCTGCGAGTGGGGGCTACTCTTCGTTGTGGTGCACGAGCTTTCCATTGTGGTGGCCTCTCTTGTTGTGGAGCATGGGCTCTAGGTACACAGGCTTCAGTAGTTGTGGCACACGGGCTCAGTAGTTGTGGCTTGCGGGCTTTAGTTGCTCCACAGCATGTGGGATCTTCCTGGACCAGGGCTTGAACCTGTGTTCCCTGCATTGGCAGGCAGATTCTTAACCACTGCACCACCAGGGAAGTCCCAATGTTAAATTATTTTGTGTGTGTGCGTGTGTGTGTGTGTGTGTGTGTGTGTGTGTGTGTGTGTGTGTGTGTGATGTTAGCTTTGATCACCAGGTCAAAGTCCCACTCCTCCACTGTACAATTAATGTTTAGTGTAGAGTTATTTTGTATCCTGCTATTTTCACTTAACAGTAGAGAAGACTGGCAGAAACTGCTAGTTTTTCCTCAGTATCCTTTCTCCAAAATTTTTTAGCTGGACATATTTCTTGAGGCTGGGTATGGTCTTATGACTAAGTCCTGTCCAGTGGTATGGGAACAGAAGTGAATGTGATTTCTAGTTCTATGTTTTAGTTGGATAGAACATGCTTCCCTCTTCTATTTCCGTCTTCCCATTGGCTGGGATTTAGTCATGATAGCAGAAGCTAGGTTAGTCATCTTGAACCATACAATGGAAGCAGCATGTGGAGAATGGCAGAGCAACAAGATAGAAAGAGACTGGGATCCTGAGAATTCATGGAGGAGAGCTGCCATACCAGCTGAGACTTTTACAAAGATAAAGAAAGAAATTTCCATCTCATTTGTGATATATTTGGGGTTTCTGTAATAGTTTCTCTGCCTCTGTCTTAAGTAACATAGGTATTTCCCCTCATTGCTACATAGTTTTCATAATTATTTTTAATGGCTACACAATATTCCATCAAGTGATATACTAGTAATTAACAAACCACTCACCTATTAAGTACATATTGCTTATGTTTTTTCATTATTGTATATGATGTGATTAAGAGTTTAATGTATATATGGCTTTTTCATTTTTGTGGATTATTTAAGATAATTCCTTAGATATGTTGATTATTATGTTAAAAATAGAAGAGATCATGGCTCTAGGTAGGTTTTGTTCAAATGTCTTCCAAAAACAAACTCTCTGTGGTTAATTCTGATGTGCAATGTTGAATTACTACACTTTTAGATAACTAATTAAATGTCATGATAAGTGATTTGAAAAACAAAAATGTGAATTATTAAGGTTAATTATAATTGATACATTAGAGGATATTTATTTTCATATTTTCCAATGTCAATGGTATTGCCATGTTAATGCAATATACAAAAAATGCCCAAAGTATGGGTATGTACCTGGAAGATATACTGCATCACACCATGACCAAGTTATTGCCTTTTCAATTCTCCATTTGATTTCATAAAGGAAAGTCTCCATTTGGTAAAAATCTAGGTAGAATATAATCCATAGTTATACCTGTGATTGCCTTTTAATTATGGCAAAGGAGTTGTTTTCTATTTATAGTCATAATACAACATTTAAAAAAATTTAAGTTTAAAAAGGTCAAATTAAAGAAAATATTAAGTATATATCATATGTGGAAGTAAAAATAGAGACAGTTGAAATCGAGGACTGCAATTTGGAAATAATTACATAAGGAAAGATATTGAGCCCTAACAATCTCTGCTAACTCCTTGTGATCTCCAGCAGAGTGTATTTGTTTTTAATGAGAACAGTATGGTTAATTTACATTGCAGAATTTAAAGTTAACAGGTCTGAAGCAGAGATAGTATAGGATATTTAGCAATTTTCTTGAAAAAGGAGTACACCTTCTCAATCTTTAGTTGACAGAGAGAACTTTATCACCTATTACTTAACCAGTGTAGTAGGCACTTTACATGCATCATCCCGGTGATCCTCACAATACTACCGTGGGATGAAGAGCGTAATCCCCATTTTAGAAATAGGGCTTAAAGCAGTGTTGTTTTCTCAATAGGAGATAGAGGGAAGATTAAATGTAAAGTTCCTAATATGTCTGGCACATGCAGCAGATACCAAATAGATAGTAGTCATTATTATTGTCATAGTGTTTGGCAAGCTCAGAATTTAGTCTGAAGTCTGCTCAGTTCAATCCCATGTCTTTATAGAACACCATGCTGGGTCCTATAGAATTACAGAAAAAGAAAAAAGATAATTTAAAGATAACTCAAAATTCATGTTAAATCCATGAATCATTAACTCAATAGATCTTTACTCAGTGCTTGCTATGTTCCAGATGCTATGGAATGAGCATCCAATCATTCCATGTACCCTTAGTCTAGCTCGGGATGCCACAGGTTGCTACAGTGCCCTGTTCTCCCCCAGCACATGTAATCTGATTTAATGCCTATCATCTGTGCTGAGGAGTGTGCTGTGGGGGAAACATGTCCTGTGATGACCACTTGACCTCCGGTATGTATCTTAGTGACCAGTAGAGTTTTACTAACGTTTCCCTCCAAGAAACACTTTCAAACTTTTTTTTAAAACCTCTCCATTATATATATATGATCCCAGCTATGCTAAAAAAAAAAAAATTAAAGGAAATTTCTCAGATTTCTTTATGGCTGGTGGGATTTCCAGTATTTCTTGTAACACTTTCCATATATATATATTTTTTATAAATTTATTTTATTTTTGGCTGTGTCGGGTCTTCATTGCAGTGCGTGGGCTTCTCATTGCGGTGGCTTCTCTTGTTGTGGAGCACGGGCTCTATGCACACAGGCTTCAGTAGTTGTGGCACGCGGGGTCACTAGTTGTGGCTCATGGGCTCTAGAGCACAGGCTCAGTAGTTGTGGTGCACGGGCTTAGTTGCTCCGTGGCATGTGGGATCTTCCTGGATCAGGGCTCGAACCCGTGTCCCCTGCATTGGCAGGCGGATTCTTAACCACTGCATCAACAAGGAAGTCCCACACTTTCCATATTCTCTATGTTAAGTTTTTGTATATAATAATAGAAAGAAGAAAATAAAGTAAAACCTACTAGTGTTGAAAAATAACGTGTGAAGTCTAACAATATTGAATGTAAATGTACATAGGTGTAGCATCATTTACAATGACCACTGACAAGACCTATCTGCTTCCATTCTCCTTCCCCTTCTCCTACAAAACCAAATGGTTCGTGCAAGCAGGGGTTCAGGGACAGCATGTCCTTCTCTCAAGTACTTTGGCAGCCTTATGAGGTGGTAATTGCATAGGGAATCCTCAAAACAAAATCTGGAAGCAGCTGGGCGAGACAGCCCTCTTCTGGGGAAATAAGAAAATGCCATCACCCCAAAGGATGTTGGCTGGATTGTAAAGGGCGTTTAGGGCCCTTAAGGCACAAGGGCATTCAAAAGGTATTCGCTGAGAATAATGAATTTTTGAAGCTCAAAGGTTATTTTGGAAGTTGAAGCATAAATGTTTATTTTTGTAAATATTGAGCATGTGTTTAAAATTTCTTAGCCTCAATTTCTCATCTGTAAAATGCAGAAAATGACCTCATAAGGTCATTTTGAAAATAATGTGAATAAATGCAGTTATTCAGCATAGTGCTCAGCAGAGAGTAAATGCTTAATAAATGACAGTCATTATTTTAACTCTTACTCATTTCATAATCTTTACAGTAATCATTTTACCTTGTGGAACTTCTCCAGTGTTTACAAAAAAGGACTCTAAGGAATCTGAGATATTGCATCTAAGAAAAATGAACATGTGTGTGTATATACATTTTAAAAGAACGATTTATGGCTAAAAACATGAAAACATTGAACTTTGAGATATCTTCACTGAAAAATTGTTTATTAAGGTGTTAATGTTTTATATAATTGGTTCAATATTTATATAATTTAAAATTCTGAGTTGCCCTTGAATAATCCACATATCTACAATACTCACATGTATATAAACTACATATTTCCTGATATTTAACATAGACTTCTCTAACTTCCATTTATCAGACAAATAAAACATTAATCTTTCAAAGCTACACCTTTAGGAGTTCACAAATTCCTATTTCTTTGAGTTTTTTTTTATTATACTTAAACATTCTTAAAAGAGGAAGCTGAAAGCCCCAAACCAAAAGCCTTAATCTGCCTTTCACAATATATATGTGTATCAAATCATCATGATGTACACTTTAAATATCTTACAACTTTGTGAATGACACCTCAATAAAGCTGGAAAAAAAAAATGAAATCACACACAAAAAAGCCTTAATCTGAACCAATGTTGAGAAATGGAGCAACGAATAGGATCTTTTATTCATCACACAGAAAAAATACAGAATATATCTAGTAATTTAGTATTGCCTAAAGAGAATATACTTTGTATTTAGAGAAATAAAAGATTAGTTGTCAGGAGTTGCTTTTGGAGAATGATCAATAAGTGTCTTATCAATGGTCAGATACTGATACCAGGGACCATCGCCTCTTGCACGCATTAGACTTCGTACTTCCAGCTCCTTTAACCTGTAACAAACAGAATGGTGATGTTGTGACTACAGCATTTCCAATTATAAAGTTAATGAATTATCTCCATAAAGAACAACAACTTGAGAGTCTTGCTTTTATGTAAAATATAATGTCCCTCCACAGATCCATATGTATGCATATATCTGATATGTACCTATAAGCAAAATTTGGGATTTATTTTGGCTTTTATTATCTTGCTTATGTAGTTAGCCAATGAATATTGTTTTTAATCACCCAAGCGTCACTTGAATTGATAATCAATTCTCTCCTCCTGTCCCTGCTCTTTGTCTGGACAGATCACTTTCACTTGAATAGTGATAATGCATTTCCTGTCTTCTTGCCTTTTAAATGTTAAGAGAGTCATTTACAGAACGCCTACTATTATGACCACATACTGTGCCAAGTGCTAGAAATTAAAAGGGAACAAGCCTTCCTGGAGGAGCTCACATCCCCTGTCTATACTGGCTGCCGATCACCATTAGGACAGAAAACTTCTTGAAAGAAGAGACGGTAACTTATTCACCAGCCACCAGCATCACACTGAGCCTGGTCAACATTGGACAATCCATATTTGTAAAGAAAAGAAAAAAGAAAAACCAGGATTAAGAAAAACATTCTCTGACTCTAAGATCTACTTATTTGTCCTCATCCTTCTTCACAAACTGAATAATCTCTATTTTAGAAAGATACTTTCCTTCTTCCACAGCCAAGCCTTTGCACAAAACTACCACGCATTCCTGGAATAATCCCTTCTCCATCAAGCCTTTTACTTTCCATTTTTATAGACTACATACTAACTTTTTATGACTGGAAATCTGTCACAGTTAAATTATTCACTTCATGAACCTTAACCAGTTTACCAACCCTATCTATGACAGATAATATACCTTTGTGATAGTGTATATAAGAGAATACATTTATCCTTTTTTTTTTAGGATTAAATATCAACCTTTTTCTTTTCTACTCTTTATAATAATCTAAAATGCAAGTAATTAAAATATTCATCACAGGGGACTGGTTAAATAAATTATTGTTCACCCATATAATGGACAACCTATGCACCTGTTAAAAAGAATGAGGGAAATCTATATATAGTAACATGGAAGGAGAGGACAGATATATCATTAGGTTGAAAAAGCAAGGTATAAAATGAGTCTGTGTGGCACCTTCCCATTTCACTCAAAAGCAGAGAAAATCATTTGTGCTATGTATATGTACACATGTACAGAGTATTAAAAATTCTGGAGGACCAAAAATAAATTATCTCTGGGGGAATCAATTACGTAAGGCAGTCCCTTTCTATTTTATACCTTTCCTTTAAGCTTCAGTTTTCCAAATACCTAAACATATATTTTTAAAAATGTGTAGGTACTCCCCATTCCATTCTCACACTTGCATCTTTCTTTTAGGAGTAAAAGTCAGGGTCCTGTTTTAGTTTTTTAAAAAATATTTATTTATTTAGGCTGCTCCAGGTCTTAGTTGCAGCACACGGGATCTTCATTGCTGCGTGTGAGATCTTTTTAGTTGCGGCATGCGGACTCTCAGTTGCGGCACGCGTGCAGGATCTAGTTCCCCGACCTGGGACCGAACCCAGGCCCCCTGCATTGGTAGCGCGGAGTCCGACCCACTGGACCACCAGAGGAGTCCCCTGTTTTTGTTTTTATTTTTACTTTGTTTGTTTTGAAATTGTTTGGGATTGTTATATGTCTAAGAAATTTTGTAATCTGATGTTTTATCAAAGGTATATGTCTGAAGTTCAAAAATGTCCAAAGCTAACTAAGTATGAGGCATAATGCTATTCCATGCTCTTAAATACTTAATGACAGTTCTATATGGTAACTACACATACATGTAATTACATATCTACAAAACAAGCCAATCATATGTTCATTTAATCATTTAAATAGTTTTCAATATCATAGCAATTTTTGTAAACTACAAAATTAGAGCAGAATGAACAGAAAGCAGATCAATGGTAGCCTGGGGCCAAGAGTAAGGGATGGGGATTGACTGAAGGGACAGGAAAGAAACTCACTAGGTGATCATAATGACCTCGATAGTGGTGGTTACAGTTATATATTTTGTCAAAACCCACTGGACTTAATGGGTACTTTTGATTGTATGTAAACCTCATTCCAAACACCAAAATAAATCTCAGAAAAGATCATATTTAAAAGTAGAAAAAGAAAATATGAGTGAACATTAAAAAATAATTTTGGGGCTTCCCTGGTGGCGCAGTGGTTGAGAGTCCACCTGCCGATGCAGGGGACACGGGTTCGTGCCCCAGTCCGGGAAGATCCCACATGCCACCGAGTGGCTGGGCCTGTGAGCCGTGGTCCCTGAGCCTGCGCGTCCGGAGCCTGTGCTCCGCAACGGGAGAGGCCACGGCAGTGAGAGGCTGCGTACAGAAAAAAAAAAAAAAAAAAATTTTGGACTTGTGTATTTACTTATTTTATTATTATCAGAGACCTATATATGACACAAAATTCCAGAAGCTAAAGAAAAAGACTGACAAGCTTGACAATCATTAAAGGAGTAAATATATTAAAAGCAATTAAACCATCAGTACACAGTAAGTGTTCAAAAACATATTAGCTACTACTGCATTTTTGTTATCTGAAACAAAAACACTAAGTTGCAAAAAAATTCTACACTGTCAGAAGACAAATGACAAGCTAGGAAGACATATCTGCAACAAAAACAAAAGGGGCTATTTTAATCAATGCACAAATTAATAGAAAATGGGCAACTTATGAAAAAGAAATATAAACAACCAATAGATATATGAAAAAATACTCAACTTTGCCAAAAAATACAAAATTGAAATGATGAGATAACATTTTTCAACTGTCTGATCAGCAAAAATGTTTAGGTTTGATAAATTCCTTTACTGGGAAAGGTATGGAGAAACAGAATTATCCTGTATTGGTGACAGAAAAGACCACTGGTACAACTTTTTAAAGAAGAGTTTGACAAAAGCTATCTAAAATTTAAAGCATAACATTTGGTTTATCAGTGCCACTGCTAGGAATTTATATTCCAGATACACTGAATAAATATGCAAAAATATATGAGGATATTCACCACAGCACAATGTATAATTATCAAAAAACTTGGAAAGAGCCTAAGTACCAACAATAGGTCCCTCACCGGTTAAAAAAATTAAGGCACATCCATCCAGTGCAGCCATTAAAAAGAATAGAGTATATGCTATTACCGAAAGATCAAGATACAGTTGGCCCTATCTATCTTCGGAGGGCCAACTGTTCTATGCCATTTTATATAGGGACTTGAGCATCCTCAGACTGGTATCTACTGGAGGTCCTGGAACAATCCTCCTCAGTTACCAAGGAATGACTGTATATTTACATGAAAGGAAGACAAGGTGCAGAACAGTGCTGATAACAGGATTCCATTTGTGTTAATATATTTTGTAAATGATATATAAAAAATATATTTTTAATGCATAAAATATAAGAGATCATTAAATAGTAGTCACCTCTAAGGATGACACTGGGTGTAAGAAGAAAGGAAATTGGGTGGGGGAGGGGAAGGAGAGGGCTACCTTGCACTTAAAAGAGTCAGGACATTTCAAAAAAGAATTCTTTTTAATCTGACAGATATTATCTCCTAATAGCCTTCTAGTCTCCAACTCATAATCTCCTCTCTAAACAGGCTAATTCTCTCTCCATCTTCACCCTTTTACACAGAGCATCCTACACTGTTGAAATAGTTTTATTAAATTTCTTCCTGTGGTTTGCAACTGTAGGAAAGGATTTTCTTCCCTGCACTCCAACCCCTGCCCTTTTTTTTTTTTTTTTTTTTTTACCGTAATTCAGCTTTTTCAGCTTCAACTTGAAGGACAGCCATTGTTCTTTCATAATTCTTTTCAGGACTATCAAAGAAAGTTCGGGCAATCCATCTTGATATAGGATGCTACAAGAGAAAATGTGTTTAAAATTAGTGTCTGAAAAGTACTTTGCTTTTCCAGTTTACTATTCTCCTAAAATGACCATCTCAGGTAAATCAATAACACTTTTATGTATCAACCACTTTATATATTTTTAAAATAATTTTAATTTGTTCGGTAGATACTACCTTTGTCCTCATTTATAGATGAGCAAATTACACAAGGTTGTACAGTTACTAGGTTGCAGCATCTGCACTCAGGCCAGGTCTGTCTGACTCTAAAACCTGTGCTCTTTCCTATTATACTACACTATAAGTATCTTAACTGGCAGATTTTGGAGCCAAACCCGGGGTCTGGTGATCTTAAAATGGCGCTCTTTCCACCAGTCAGCCAAGATAAACTAATTATATGGCTTACCTTAAGATTTAATAATGAAGTATTTCTTTTCTAAAATATAATTCATTCAGATAATAAAACATGATAAGATATACTGTAATCAAGGCCATCTCACTAAAACACTTGTAAAGACAAGTAACAGAATTAATTTTGGGTTTTAGTAGCCATGACAGTATGGTAAAATGACTAATTAACAGTGCAGGCTCTGGAGTCAAGACTGCCTGGGTTCAAATACTGACCCTATCCCTTAGACAGAGCACTTAACCTCTTTTAAGCATCAACTTCCTCATCTCTAAAGCAGAAATAATAATAGTACCATTTACATGGAATGAGATAGTATTTTCAAAACACTTATCATAGTGCCTGCTACACAGTGGGTGTTCAATAAATGACAGCTAGCATTAGTATCAGTACAGTTTTCCCTACGGCATAGAACGTAGGATAAATTCTGACTGTTACTCTCTAGGTTGAGAACACAGTGCAGAGTCAGTCTTTAAAAAACCATAAAGCTTAAGGTAATAAAACAATGCAGAAAATTACCAAAAGTTACTTATAAAAAGTGAGCACAAAATGTATCATTTACTTGTTATAAAAAATTGAATACAAAACTATACCACAATTGCTAAATTAAGATATTAACCAGTACATTGACAAGACACCTAACTGAAAATAACTTTCAGTGACCTATACCAACCTTGAAATATTCCCAGTGCTCTGGGGTATAGCCTTCTGGAATTTCTGCTAACTCAGCTTCACCTAATAAGAGAAAACAGTGATATTCAACTTTAGTATCAGGAGTTTATAATGTTAATTCTTCACTATTTAAGTAAGAAACCAACCTCTTGTGATTTTAAAGAACCTTTTGTTTTGTAGCAATGAAGATATCTAATATTTTAAATTCACTTCAAGCTGGTGGAAGATCATTCATTAGATATTTTTTAGATGTCTTCTATGTGTAACGCATTGTATATAGGCATTATATGAGGGTTCTCGTTTTGTTTTTATATAGTGTAAGAAGATATAATAAAAGACATACTATTCCTCTGGTTTTCCTTAAACATCCTAGACAAAATATTTAGGATTCAAGATGTTAGAAGTACTGTGAGCAGAATTTCCCAGGAGACCTAATAGTTACTATCATTCACAAATCTATTCTTTTTTGGAAGATTATAACTTTATATGTTCCAGGATGGATAAAAAAAGTTCTTCCATCCCTCAGCCTCTTTTCCACCTCTATCTCTTTCTATTTTCCTTATTCAGACTTCTCAAAGCTGGTTTTGGGAAATGAGAAAGAGGAAGAAGACAGGCCTTTTATGTGGCCTATAGAGTCAGTGACCTTAAAGGTTTTTGGAGAAAACAAAAAGTTAAAAAAAGAACCACTGTGTGCTATTGCAGATTAAGATTTTGTTATTTTAAAATAAATTCTCATGTTTATGTTTATTTTATTATTTGAAGAACTTTCCCTTATAATATCCATAATTCCTTTTTTATATTAATGTACACAGGTTTTAAAAATTTACTAATTTAGTTGGTGGGGGAGATACTTACCAATGAATACATTCACCAGAGTTATGCCAATTGCTACTGGAATCCCAGTCAACAAAATGTAGAATTTCTGTTAAGATTAAAAAAAAAAAAAAAAAGTTTTCACATAACCATTTCCTAACTCCTTTCCTCACACTCAAACTGTCCTCATTACATGATTTCCTTGTATTTCTTATAACATAAACTTGCCAAATTGGAGATGCTGTATAAAATTATTTATTTCTGTAATTTTCTTTTGCTCTAGCTTTTAGATGCCTATATTTAGTGTCAAAAATGAAAGAAGAAAGCAAAGACTAATTGTATAATACAATATATATTTAAGTGATTTTTCATTTTTGGTTAAAGCAATGTCATAAAAGAAATTTTTATATTAAGAATAAAAGTGTAAGAAGATGAGGGCGATTTCTGGAGTTTGAGTTGGTCATCACAAGAAAAGTAGGAGCTCAACCATGGAGATGGAGAGGGCATTAAGCACAATGGACAGGCAAGGGAAGGTCTAGAGGGCAGCCAGTGGGTCACAACTTTAGGAACAGTGGCAGAGTCCAGTCTTCCACCTTCTAAGTCTCTACTTTTCTTTACAGAGACTTGAGATACAAACATGTAGTCAATGCCCTGTTTCACTCTCTGAAATCAAAGTTCCTAAACAACAAAGAAATAAAAAATCATATCCCAAAATAATGGAGTTACATATTTAAAGAAGTCCTTCAATGAGTTCTTTGTTAATTTAAAGAATATATTAGTAATATAAATAATTATCCCCAAATGAATCCATTTTCAGTTTTATAATTTATAGATTTTTCTTTTGGTCAGGGAACACAGATGATTTCAAAACACCATAATCTTGAGAAGAAAGGAATGTTTCAATTTTTACCTCCAATATGTATGAATTCTCTTTTTGAAGAAGGAAAGGTTCACTAATTTAAAAATAAATTCAGGGGGCTTCCCTGGTGGTGCAGTGGTTGAGAGTCCGCCTGCGATGCAAGGGACGCAGGTTCGTGCCCCAGTCCGGGAGGATCCCGCATGCCGCGGAGCAGCTAGGCCCATGAGCCACGGCCACTAAGCCTGCGCGTCCGGAGCCTGTGCTCCACAATGGGAGAGGCCACAACAGTGAGAGGCCCGCGTACCGCAAAAAATAAAAAAAATAAATTCAGTAACAAACCAGACCTTACTACTCAATCTCAACATTTTTCTGAGAAAAAGAATATGAATTTACAAAAAACAATATTTTATAAAATGAAAGATGTTTTCTAAATAGGAAAAAAATTTCCTATTTATATGTAAAGAGTTTAGTTCAACAAGTTTTAACTCACCATTAATTTCAAAAAACGTCTGTCATAGAATCCAGAAGGCTTGATGATAAACAGTCTTTTCCCATGGTCTCCACTGTGTCGCACAGGAGCTGGAAATATTAAATAACCCTGTTATATACAAGGTTTATAAGGATATACTGTTATATTTTGAGATAAAAGTCAGACTATACGAAAACGTACATGCATAAATGTTTAATATGAATTAAAATAAAATATCCCTTCCAAAAAATATATATACATATATATATACGATTAAGATAAAAAAATACATGCTTCTTTATTTGAGTACTAAAGGCAGGGAATACTAGGATATCTTTAAACAGAGATTGATGCACTGTTCTAAACTACAGCTCTCCTCATTTTTATTCAACATATTCATCAATATTTTCATCATTTTTATTCATCAATATTCAAGATATTGATATTTATTGAAGAAATATCTAAATGACTATTTGAATTTGTTTCAGTAGCAGGCAGGGAGATCAGATACTCTTGGTGGGCTACATACCTTTGTTTACCTCTGCAATAAATATTTGCTAATGCTGCAGAAGAAATTAATTTAAATTGCGTCATATGATGAGGCAATATACATTAGGGACTTGATGCAAAATAAATGGAAAGATATTTTTTCAATATCTCTCTAGCAGGAATTTGAACTCGTTCAAAAGAATACACTCTAATATGTCTTGATAAAATCCCTTTATAAGCCATTTCTTCTTTTTTTTTAGTTGATATAATAATTTAATAATTATTATATTACATAATTATTATAAATTTTACAAAAATTTTACAAAATATATTAAAAATTTTACAAAAAATTTTTGTAAAAAATCATTTACAATGTTGTGTTTGTTTCTGGTGTACAGCAAAGTGATTCAGTTATAAATATATATATTCCTTTTCATATTCTTCTCCATCATAGTTTATTACAAGATACTGAATATAGTTCCCTTCGCTATACAGTAGGACCTTGTTGTTTATTTTATATAGAGAGTTTGTATCTGCTAATCCCAAACTCCTAATTTATCCCCCTCCCCTTGCTTTCCCTTTTGGTAACCATAAGTTTGTTTTCTATGCCTATGAGTCTGTTTCTCTTTTGCAAAAGTTCCTTTGTATCATATTTTAGATTCCACATATAAGTGATATATAATATTTGTGTTTCTCTGTATGACTTACTTCACTTAGTATGATAATCTCTAGGTCCATCCATGTTGTTGCAAATGTGTAAGCCATTTCTTATTGTAAATATCCTTCTCTTCAAATCCTCTCCCAGACGGTATTTAATCAAGCCTTGCTGAAGATAAACTGAGGCAAAACTCTCACTCTTGGATCTGCTTTCTATGCGATTTCCCTTTCTTGGAAGTCTGGAAGGATGACTATGGCCACTCTAAGCCCTTTCTGCTAAAAGCAGGAAAGGCTCTAACATTACTGAGAAACTGAGGGTTACTATGCTTCTGCTCTGTAACCGCATTCAAGGGAATTTCCCATGAGTCATTGCTGAATAAAAAACTAATTTCCCATTAAAGGAATTTTAATCATAATAGATGTCAGAAAGATTTGTATCCTTTGTTCAAGCTTACATGTCAAGAATGACCTCCCCTCTCCTGAAATCTATTCTTTAGGCCCAGGTGACATCTCATCCTCCAAGAAACCAACATGCTTCCCAACCAGATGAGAGCTCTCCTACCTCTGAACTGCTGTATATTCTACTGATGTGTAAACTTGCTTTCACTGCCCCCACTGAAATATAAGTGTCTTGAAGGCAGGAACTGTCTTAAATTTTGATACCACCTGCAGCAGCTTGCAATGAATTTAGAAGGTTAATTCACAAGAGAATTAGAAGCTGGCACAAGTTTACTAAGTATAAATCATCTACTAAGGCTTCTAAAATAACAAGAGAATTTGACAAGGTAAGTATGTATTTCTGCAAATCATTTGAAAGGTACAATAGAAATTTCTGTGGACTAGATGAAAAAAATGGGCTGGATAACAGTACAAACCACTCGTTAATTCAATAAATATTTAAGTGCCTACTATGTACAGGTCTTATGCTAGGTCTATAGTATAAGAGGGATTTAGATTCTGCTGGGAGGAAAAAATAGATAATTACAAATCTATATTGTAAAAGACAACAATCTTTGTTGTCTTTGTTGTCTATAAGGACAACAAAGGAAAGAAACAGGATGTAGTGTCAGAAAAGAAAAGGCTCAGAAGTAAAGCCCCTCTTTAGACAGGCTGGTGGAGTTGGGGAGGTATGAGGAAGGCACATTATAAACTGAGAGAAGTAGCAAGTTAGAAGAAATCTGTAATGGGTAATTGGTTGATTGATTATACCCAAAAGGTGCTGATTACTTAATGCAGTAACCTGCCAAAGGGCTCTCTCACAATTTCTATGAATGGCCTGAATGTGGTGGAGATGGTATTCCTGATGATACAGAGCTACTGCTACAAGAGTGGCTACTACACTAATGATGAAATAGGATCCCCCCAAAAGTCCTCCTACACACTTACAAAAGGCTGAATCTAAAAGGATTAAGTATAGTAAGTGGAAAGTCCTACTTGAACACTCCAGAAGTTTAGTGGCTCACAAACTTAAGAAAAGTCACTGGTGGGAGTTCCCTGGTGGCCTAATGGTTAGGATTCTGGGCTTTCACTGCCATGGCCCAGGTTCAATCCCTGGTCAGGGAATTGAGATCCCGCAAGCTGCATGGCGTGGCCAAAAACAAAAAAAGAAAAAGTCATTGGTGTCATGTGGATGTGGTTAACCAAAAAATCCCAAAGGTAATCCAATCTTAATCTGATGTACCAGAAATACAGGGTAAAAACAGAAGGAGCCCTCCACCTCCATGTCTTACCAGACCTGTGGAAGTGTGTCCATCCCAGAGTACACTGTTTTAGAGGGACAATCTGGAGCACGTCCTAAGTTAAGCAACCAGGACGGCAAACAACCTGGAAATTGACCTACTGAAACTGAAAGAACTGAAGGTGACTGGCCTACAAAAAAGAAGTCAGGATAGAGACCAGAGAAGTGCCTTTAAATAGCTGAAGGCTGTCCAATGACAAAGGCTTACACTATTCTGCACTGACCTGAAAGGAAGAACTAGGATCAATGTGTGAAAGAGTAATTTTTGGCTTAATACAAGGAAGAAGTTTCTAACAATTTTAGTGGTTGAAAATAAAATTGGACTGCCTCCCCAGTCCCCATTATGGAGTTATTCGAGTATCACTAATGGAAGGTAACAAGGATTAGCATACTACAGGGGGTGGCCTATAAGATTTCTAAGGTCCTTTCCCTCAAAGAATCTGAATAGATGGCCTCTCTTAGAATAAAAAGACGTACCTTTCCTACTGATCAATCTCAATGGTTTCCTTCCAACACCAAGAACTCTTTCCTGCTTTCAGGTCTTTGCACTTAACCTTCCTCTTTGCTTGGAAGCTTTTCCTCAGGCTCTTTGAATGGCTAGCTCCTCACCCCATCCTTCAGAGGTAAGATCAAATGTTACCTCTTCAAAGAAGTTTTCTCTGACTACCCTATATCCACAGCTGGTCTCCCACTTATTCTCCTTAATATCATTTGGTTATTTCCTCTAGAACAATAAGCACTAAGCTGAATCATTCAGTAGTGTATCTCCAGTGCACTTTAGTGTCTGCCACATGGTAGGAACTCCATAAATATTGTTGAATTTACATTTCTTAAGTAAATTTAATGTTGGTAGGGGATCTTTCTTTAGTCCTTGAAAGTAAATCTTCTCAGAAGAGACAGTATACTCCCAACTTTCCCTTTCAGTCAGACGGACAGACAGACAGACAGACACACACACACAGAGAAACACGTAAGGATTAAACTCTATGTGGGGTTTTAGGGACAACTGATTACAAATGACAGTATTAGTAGATGTGGAAAGTGTAACAAACAAAAAAAACGATGGAAGAAAGCTTGAGCTGGCTGCATTCTAGCAATATTAAACAGTTAGTAATGTGAACTTCTTGCTTTCTTTACATATAATTACCCTACTGTTAAACAACAATTATTCATGCCATTAAATGTGTTAGGTAACTGTTATACTATTAACTGTTCTAAAGGATATTTTACAGCACTAAACTCTTTTCAAATATTCTGAGCTTTCATGATTTGTTGTTGTAGTAGGGCCATCTGCTTACAATCTAAAATTATTAGAGTGAACATTGCTTACAACCAGGTGACTGCCAGGATTTCTGGAACTCAATCCTTCTGCCACAAAATAGGCATTTTCCTCCACTCTCTACAGCCTGGAATGTCTCAATTAAGGTACTCAGTAATTACGTGGAACTAAGGTTTCACTAACCAATTTTTTTTAATGCAAATAACTTCAGGAAAGTTATGCTTTGAACAATTATGATACTTGTGAGGATCAAATAAGATAATATCAGATTTTTTTGTGTCTCCAAGACAACACCCAAAATTGGTCATTTTCTTTCCCTCATTCTCAGACTATTCCCAGTTAATGGCAACTCAATTACCCAGGCTAAAAAATCTGTCATCTTCCTGTGCCTCATTCATCAGTTGTCAAGGCCTCTTGATTCTAAAATTCAAACTTTCCATTTCTCTCCAAGACCTTTTCACCTCAGTGGCTTAAGAAATCAACATGCCTGATGAGCCATCCAATATTCAGAAGCATCTTCCTAAAACATACTACTGATGCTGCTCTTCTGCTAAAACACTCTCGGGTGCCTACAAAATCGTTAAGATACTTTGGCTTTGTATTCAGTCCCTCCCCTAATTAGGTCCTAACTTCTCTTTTTTTAACCTTCTCTCTCAACACCTACCTATCCCAAGAGCCCCATATTCAGATATATCTGAAAACACATCCTTTACTTTTCCATCAATTGCACCTGTTAAAACTATCCCTAGAATCCAGTTAACATGCCTCATCATCCATGTCTGAATTAAGTCCACACTACTTCGTTTAATACTCTTCTCAGGTTTTAAAGCCATAATTATATGCACATCAGCCTTCAACATAAAAGTTCTCTGCAGCTGAGGGGAGAACTTAAGCTTATTTCTAGAATCCCTTGATGTTTGACATTTAATAAATAATTAAACAGAATACTTTTATCTGCTTATTTTCTGAGAAAGGTTTTCACTGAGAGTGATTGATGATAACATGACAGTACTAGATGTTTAAGAAAGGTGAGACCACAGGGCCCTGTAGAAGGTAATGCCCAGTGCTGTAGATTTTTCCCACTCACTCTTTACCACTACCTTTGAGGTAAGTTAAAATTACCACCCTCTTTTTAGAAACAAAACAAAACAGTTCTTATGGTAAGAGACAAGTTCATTCAAAATGACATTTCTAGAAAGATGCAAAATTATGCAGAAACACATTTCAGGGTTATAAATACTTGTCAGTGGGAAAGATATTAGTTTTATTTTATTTCCCTGTCAACAGAAAATAAGCACATTGTAATAAAATCCTCTTTTTTTTCTTTCTAAATCCTCTTTTTTAACGATGAAGAAATGCAGGTTTGGAGCAATTAAGTGCCTTCCACTTAGCTTCCCAGATGTGATGACCCAAGCTCACAGAGTTACTAAACTCTGGAGGTAGGATTTAAACCTAGGTGGTCTATATCCAGAGAAAACAAAACCAGACAAGGTTCTCTCCTCTGTTGGATCTTACGTTCTCATAGAGGCAGACATAAACAATAATATAAAACAGATTACAAGCTTTCATTCCACAGTGATAGATTAGGTTTCACATGCAAAATACCTTTGAAAGCAGGTACACTGCTGAAACATAGTAACCTCACTATAGCTATCACATCCTTTCCTGCTCCCAGTGGAAAGGGTGTAGATTACCTGCGAGGATCCTTCCAGAACTCCAAGAATGGGGAATAGTGTATAAATGGGATCTAGGGGAGAAATTTTACCTCAGTTTATCTCCAGGTAGGCATGATTAAGTACTATGGGGGGAGGGGGTATTTGAAGAGGATATTTGTAATCAGAAATGGCTTACAAAGGAATTTTATCAAAGAATGTAAGCACATGTAGTTTTGTAACAGGTTCAAATTCCTGCCGGAAATTTGTTCAATGCCACTTTTTTTCCTTTCCATTTTTCCAGTAAGTCCCTCATGGCATCAGTGTATAATGCCTCATCATGTGAAGTGACATAATTCAAATTAAATTGGGAGAAGAGCAGTAAACAGAAAAATATATTTTTAAGTTGGAGAAGAATCTTTTGGGCTTTAAATTTCACTTCCTTTGTATCTACTTGTATTGCATAGGACAAATCGCTTACAGTATATTTTTGATCAAGAGGATTAAATGAATACCTTTAATATCTTAGAATGGTGCCCAGCACATAATGTGTGCTCAATAAATGTTAGCTCCCATTATTATTATTCACTTAATACAGTAGTGCATTATTTTTGTAATAATTGAGTCACAGTTTCCTCATCTGTAAAATGGGGTAACACTGTACTCACTTTGCAGAATCCAAAAGGGAATAAAGCAGACTGAATACAAAGCATTTGATGCTTTGCTATTATGATTATTCATTCCCCTAGAGTTCAATCCACAGTCTCCAAGAGGCTCCAAATAATCCTCCCATGACTGCACTGACTTTCCTAAGACCTAGGAACTTTTTCTTCATAGGTCCCTTCCTCTCTAAGAAGACATTAAAAATAATTATTTTATGATTCCGTTGATATAAAACGAATACAATTCAGGCTGGATTCAGCATCACATATGCATTAACATTATAGCCCTTTTCCTTCTGATTTTAAAAGAAATTTAAATTAAAACATTTTCGTGGACACCTAGAAGTATCATGAGGGCACTGTGCCTAGCAGATGAGTTAGCCCTGAGCCTCTCCACCTGTCCATATATCAATATTATTACTTAGCATCAGCGGGCTCCTCAGCAACATGACTTCCCACCTTGTGAGATTAAAACGTACCGCAGGTGGAACATACAAAGAATCTTGGTGCCTGAGAGACATGGGTCTCAGCTCTTTGCCTTTCTAACATCAGCTTCATCCGCAAATTACCACCAACAGGATAGGTGAATGACAAAGCGTCTCACAAATTCTAATTAATTACTTAAACACGATCGATTTCATTACTCCAGGAAAACCCTCAGTCTCCTCACATAGCCCATGCTCCGTCTCTCAAGTCCCAAGTCCCCAATTTCTCCCAGCTCTCTCCGGATTCCACCAAGGTCACCCGGGAAGAGTCCTCCATCTCTCCTCCCGCGTTTCTTGATAGCGCTTTCTCCCAAAGCCAGTACCCACCGGCAGTCTTCGGAAAGTCACGGGTGAGGAAGCCCCCGAATACAAGTCTAGTGTCAAGGCGGCGGCCAGACAGAGCGGCCACTGCAGAGACCGAAGCCCGCTGTAATAAACTCATGGCCGCCATGGCTACTACGGGCAAGAGAAGCGGGCAAATGTAACGGGAGCCGAGAGAGCCAATTTCTCAACGAGGGCGAAGCCGGAAAGTGGCCATGTTGAGTGAGGGCAAAGCCAATTCCTGTTCTCGTCATCCGGTCGGCGTGAGACGCCGGAAGTGACATCATTGTTGGCGGAAATGCGGTTTGCTTACTTATGCGAAAAATGGCTGCTGCCAGTTTGGCTGTTTTCTGCAGGAGAGTGTCGGCGGCCCTGAAGGCTTCCAGGTCGTTAATAAGTCCTCAGGCCCCTGCTAGCACAAGGTAAGTGATGTGAGGAGTAGGTCTGTCCACTTCTCCAACTTTGGTTCTTGTTTGGTTGGCGAGATACTGAGAAACGCTTAGGGATGGAAAGGCCTCTGGGATGGCTGGGCCCGAACCTACCTCCGTGAGGAGTGAGTGACCTTGGAGAAGTCCCCCACCTGCGACATTTCCGTATCTTCCTCAAACATTTTGTTGCCACCTGCTGTGGACCAGGCAGTCGTGGGGTCTGTAGAAAACCAGTATTTGTTGAACTAAACGTAGAGGTGCGGAAGCATCCTGTTCGGCTGGGTGAGTTGGGAAAAACTTCACTGAAGAGCTTTTGGCTGTGGAACTGAAGGCTGTGTCAGATTTGGATGGATTTAAAAAGGGGTGGGAGGGTGTACGCCCGGAGTCTGTCAAAAAGAGATTGTTCAGTAAATGTTGAGTGAATAAATGAAGGTAGCCAAATGAAAGTAGTCATTTTTTTTTTTAAAGGAAGTAATGTATGTGCTCTTGAATCCAGCACATTTGTTGGGCATCTCTCAGATATAGTGAACTTACATTAACCTCAGAGATAAGCAATTTTTTTGGTTTGTTTTTTGCAGAGGTTCAGGGGTTGTAACTGGAAAAGTAGCAAACTTGAATTAATCGTCTCTTCCATCTCATCATCGTTTTTCCTTAAAAAAAAAATTCTGGATTTTTATCATTACTGTTGAATAAATATCTGTTCATTTACAGACACTTTGGAAAATAGGGTAAAGTGCTTTGAAGAAGAAAGTAAACATCAGCTATGGTTTTACCATTCAGAGATAAACAGATTTTCTTCTATTCTTTTTAACTTTGAATATATAGACATACATGAGATTTTAAAATAAAATCAGGATAATATTTACGTATATGCATTTTTGTGTTCTACCCTTGTTTCTCCAACTTTTTATTTTAAAAAATTTCAAACCAAAAGGAAAGTTGTAAGAGTAGTAGAAAGAATAACCGTATACTCTGCACCTATGTTAACCAATCCTCAGCATTTTGTCACATTTTCTATACTTTTTATATCCATGCCTTTATTTTTCTGAACTATTTGAGGCATGTCAGAATTGCAAACATCATGACACTTCAGCATATATCTCCTAAGAACAAGAACACTGTCTTTTTTTTTAATTAATTAATTTATTTTTGGCTGTGTTGGGTCTTAGTTGCTGTGCACGGGCTTTCTCTAGTTGCGGCGAGCAGGGGCTGCTACTTGTTGTGGTGCGCAGGCTTCTCATTGCAGTGGTTTCTCTTGTTGCGGGGCACGGGCTCTAGGTGTGCAGGCTTCAGTAGTTGTAGCATGCGGACTCAGTAGTTGTGGCTCGCAGGCTCTAGAGCACAGGCTCAGTAGTTGTGGCACACGGGCTTAGTTGCTCCGTGGCATGTGGGATCTTCCCTGACCAGGGCTCGAACCCGTGTCCCCTGAATTGGCAGGCGGATTCTTAACGACTGCGCCACCAGGGAGGTCCCAAGAACGCTGTCTTAACCACAATACTACAATGATCACACTGGGGAATTTTTTTTTTCTTTCTTAATTTTTAATTCAGAGTCCAGTCAATGAACATTTATCCTGTTAATTGTCGTGTTATCATTAGTCTTCTTTAATCCAGAATGTTTCGTTTTTTCTTTCATGATATTGACATTTTTAATAAGGTCAGCCTTTTTAGAATATTCCTTCATTTGGATTTGTCTGATTGTTTCCTCATGATTAGATTCACGTTAAATTTTTCTAGGTAGGAATACAACATTTGTTATACACTTCATTATTGTATTTTAAGTTATTTCTCCAGGTCATTAAATATTCTTTATAAACATGACTTTTAGATTACTGCATAATAGATTATCATACAGATGCACAATAATGTTTTTAACCATTCCCCAGTTGCACATTTACATTATTATCAGCTTTTTGATATCATATATAATGCTTTAATAGACTTTTTAAAAGTATAATTGACTTAAAATATTATATTAGTTTCAGGTGTACAACATAGTGATTCTATATTTTTATACATTACAAAATGATCACCACAATAGACACTTTGATTTATCAATTCCCATCTATGATAATTTGTCTTTTTAAAAAAAAATTTATTTTTTATTTATTTGGTTGCATCAAGTCTTAGTTGTGGCAGGCAGGCTCCTTAATTGTGGCTCGAGGGCTCCTTAGTTGTAACATGTGTGGGCTCCTTGGTTGTGGCATGTGAACTCTTAGTTGCAGCATGCATGTGGGATCTAGTTCCCAGACCCAGAGCCCCTGCATTGGGAGCTTGGAGTCTTAACCACTGTGCCACCAGGGGAGTCCCTCTGATAATTTCTTTAGTTGAAATTTCTAAATTCAGTGGAATTACTGGGTTAAAGGAGAAAGCATTGGGGTCTCTGATGTGTTGCAAAATTAAAGTTCAGAATGTTTTTATCTGCTTATATGCCCACTAGCCACATACGAAGGACTTAAAAATGTTACCTTAAAATATAATTATGTCGGGCTTCCCTGGTGGCGCAGTTGTTGGGAATCCGTCTGCCAAGGCAGGGGACACAGGTTTGAACCCTGGTCCGGGAAGCTCCCACATGCCGTGGAGCAACTAAGCTCGTGCGCCACAACTGCGGGCCCTGCGCTCTGGAGCCCGCGAGCCACAAGTCCTGAGGTCTGGGCGCCTGGAGCCCGTGTTCTGCAACAGGAGAGGCCACCTCAATGGGAAGCCCGTGTGCTGCAACGAAGAGTGGCCCCCGCTCACCACAACTAGAGAAAACCCGTGCACAGCAACAAAGACCCAATGCAGCCAAAAATAAATAAATTAATTAATTTAAAAAATACCTTTAAAATATATAATTATGTCAATATATTGGCTCTGAAGTTACAGGATAGCAACATATATAATGGCATGTTAAAAATAATTTCTAAAGCATTTTATGAATTTATCGTTTCTTGGGCAAAAACCCCAAGTTGGTTGTTTGACATTGTAGGTGAGGAAATGATTCCGTTTATTGCTTATAAAATCCAAATGTTGTGAAACTTGAATCACTTGTTTATATATGTTCAGTTGCAGGTTTTCTCTTTGTCTGTTGACTAAGAATACACCAAATGTCACATCTTTTCATCAGTGTAGATTACTTCATACCACATTGTCTAGGAGAGGACTGGAAGAATTTTTTGATGACCCAAAGAATTGGGGGGAAGAAAAAGTGAAATCTGGTGAGATATTTGGGTTGACCTATATTAAATAATTTTATTGAACCCTCTGTCATTTTGGGATTATTTATCCAGTTTGGGAATTACTTAAGTGTTTCCTTTTTTGATTTCCTTTGGGAATGTCTATTAGAGAAGATTAGAAGGACAGTATAATAGTAGAGTTAACTGTTCCTTGGAAGGTTGGCAAAAGGTTTAGAAGAGGAGTAGGTTGAAATTAACTAAGGTGCGGTTTGGGGTTTGTTTTACATTTCATTTTTTTAGAGATAGTTGAATATTAATTTATAATGATACTAAGTATTTTGACATTAGACTGTGAAGGTACCTTCTATACTACTAATAACAGTTTTTGAATGCTATTGCCAGTCACATTGCTAATATTTTCATATGTGTTATCTAATTTAATCACAAATCCTAATTATATATTGTACTATAATATAATAAAGCTATTACACATTTTATAGATAAGGAAACAGGTTTAGAGAGGTTAAGTAATTTGCCAAAGGGCATGTAGCTAGAAAATTATTTCATGTTATGAATTTATCATTTTAATAGGAGCTTCATGGACCTGTCAGCAATTAAGGAACAAAAGTAATGAAGATTTACATAAACTTTGGTAAGTATACTGAGTACATTAACATCTAAGTGTTTGAAGCAGTTATAGTATAATAATGAGGTATAAACTTTATCTGATGTAAGAAATTAAGTAAAGTGATTTATAGTACTGTTTTGTGATACATAAGATCATTAAAATTTTTATAATAATGAGGTATAAACTTTATCTGATGTAAGAAATTAAATAAAGTGATTTATAGTACTGTTTTGTGATATATAAAATCATTAAAATTTTTATAAGTACTACAGAGGTTAAATTACATTATGACAGATGTATCAGAGTTCTTAAATAGTTGGGAGTTTAGAAATTTTACTGTAACTGCTACCAGTCATACTACCACTTTTATACTAAGAATTTCAAGAAACTAATAAAGCAAAATGGGGATGAGTTGGTTACATTTAGGCCTTCTTCCTTTTTATTACCTTTTGCATGGTCTGGACGCTTTAGCTTTTTTGCTTTGAGGAAGAGTATTGGAGGGTGCACTTAATTGGAAATTTGGGTAGGTTTTTCTGGCAGATTCTCCTGATAAATTAGAAAGAATTGAGAGGATTTAAGACAGATTTGCATTGTATATATACATATATAAATTGAAGTATAATTGACATAACATTGTATTAGTTTCAGATGTGCAGTGTAATGGTTCAATATTTGTATATATTGTAAAATGATCACAATAAGTCCAGTTAATATCTGTCACCATACATAGTTACAAAAAGTTTTTTCCTTGTGGTGAGAATTTTCACGATCCATTCTCTGAGGTACTTTCAAATATGCAGTACAGTATTATTGACTATAGTCACCATTGCCGTATATAACATCCCCATGACTTTTTCCTTTTATAACTGGGAATTTGTACCTTTTGACCCACCTATCCCCCTACATTAATCGACTATATTTAGCCCGGAGATATGTTTGTTTGGGCTGTGCTGTGTTTTAAA